GGCCCAGGAGGTGAGCACGGGGCTCTCAAGCCAGGTTTGCCAGAGTTCCAGTCACAGCCCCCAAACCATCAGGTGGGTGATGCTGGGCCAGTTTCCTACCTCCTCTAAAATCTGTTTCCTTATCTGTATCTGAGAAAAACAATAGTACTTATTTGATAGAGCACTGTGAAGACAGCCAAGCTTACACATGGAAAGGGCTTAGCCCAGAGTCAGGCACAAAGTAAACTCTCCATAAATCTTAGCTAATATTGTAGTCAAGCCTGAATAAGAACCTTAGGTTTCTTATAACCATAGTTAATCCTTAATTTCTTTTTTTTCCTAAAGCACACATTTTATTAAAAATAATGTGCTTAAGTTTCAAACTAATGTAAGACCAATTAACTCTAGCTTCCCATTATAGATTATGCATTATTTTAAAGCAGAGTATAGATTAGGCAGTAAACACTAAGAAAGTAGCTCCAACCCCTATATTAGATCCATTCCCAGGGATCGAAGGAAACCACACAAATCCATACAGAATTTCATCAGATCAGAAGAGCATCTCAATATCTACCTTTCATTCGTTTCTTTATGACTTTACAATTTTTTTTGAATGATTGTTTAGCTTCATAAATCCATTTCAATTTCCTAAGGCCAAGCTGCTTGAACGAGTTGCTACCTTAAAACCTGCACTTGGCTGGCATAATAATGTGAAAGTTACTTTTGCACGGTACTGGTAGGCTACTTCTAAGGATTTCTGTCAGTAACCTTGGACTGACAGCCACAAACCTGTTGACTATGAATTCCTCCTTTTCAAATTAAAGCTAAAGTCAGGAGAAACAATGTATTAAAACAGAACTTGAGAAAATACTGTTGAATCCATAGGGCTGGAAATCACCTAACTCAAACCCCTCAGTTTACAAATGAGGCAAAAGATATCCAAAAAGATTAAAAGCTTGCCTAAGGACACACTCTGAGCCTGCAGCAGAACAGGATTTAGGCCTCAATTCTCAGATTCAATTCTCAGTGCTCTTTCCTTTATTTCATGCTGCCCTGAGGCATGAACGTGATGGGGCACTCAAAACTGAGGCCAGAGCAAAATGCATGGGAAATACAACTGCATTTTGTTAGGAGTGTATAAAGTCAAACCCCTCTGTTTTTAACAATCAGTTTTACTAACATTAATACAATTAATTACACAAAAAAAGTAGAATTTTGTTCAGTTCTGGGTGCTGAACTTTAAAAAGGATACAGAAAAACTAAACATCACTTATAGGAAAGAAACGTAACCACTCTAAGCCGGGACTGCTAAGCCTGGAAAGAACTCTGGGTAACAAGGCTGCAGGGTTACCAGACAGAAGGAAGACCCGAAGGAACAGAACTAAAAGCAGGACCCCAGGACACAAACAGTTGGGATAAACAGGCAAAGACTTTTTAGTGGTAAAAATCGTGGAGCTGCTGGCATTTTCCATCATAGTCACAGAACATGGCCAAACAAGACAGGCATAAGGGGTTATCACAAACGGGTACACTAGGCCAAATGACCTTTAGGTCCCTTCTGGCCCTTAAGGCTTTGTGTTTATCTGGTCACTGCCTATCCTCCTTAAATTCCTGTTTATTTGACGTATTTGCCTGAATGCTGCAAAACCCTGTATGCACGCACAGGTACACACAATAACCCCACTACAACAACCAAATTCTAGTTTTTCCCCTCAAACTAGGATGCAAAAAATGCATGTTTAAATCTTTTGAATGACATGGCTAAAGCCATGACATGGCTAAAGGTGTGCTTTGCTTTGAGGTGTAAGAGATATACTACTCTGCAATTAATTTCTGCAGCTTTTTCCTGAAATAAAGATGTCAAAATTCAGGGTTATAATTTTTTTTTAAGTCTGTTATTTTAGGTGTATTTTTAGTTGGTATCAAATGCATCAAGATCAAAGTCTACAGCTTTTTCTTCTAATTAGAAACTTAAAAAATTCCAGGTTATTATTTTTTAAATTAAGTTAAACTCAGGTTTAGTTTCTTCCTTTCAAATTGCCTGAGTGTTAGATATATATTTACAAATTGTCTCTTTTTAACTGTTCTACTTTACTATAACGAATATACTTATTTTAAGTTTCTATTTAAAAATTTTCAAACATGTAGAAAAGCCTACAAAATTACGTAAAATGTCCCCCACATACTCATCACTAGACTCAACAATGAGTAACAATTTGCCTTATTTGCTTCCTCTGTTTTTGGAGGGGTTTAAGGATTTAGGTAAGACACCTTGACATTTCACCACTAAACATTTTAGTAGGCATCTCTAGTAAAATTAGCAAATGTAGTGTATTATAATTAATTTAATTAATTCTTTAATGTCACCTAATACCTAGTCCATATTCAAAATTTGACAGATATGGTATTGTTTGGTTTGCTACATGGCTTTGAAATTTACAAATCAGAAACAAGGCTTTAAATTTTTTATGAGCTAGATATGCAGTGAAAAGCATTGCTAAGAGTTACTCAATACAGTTTTTACAAATTGTGTTAGACGTGGCTTTTGCTTCAAAACGTTTATAAAGCTTTTCCAACTTCCAGATAAGCTGAAAAAAATCATAACCTCTATGTGGTCTTGTTAGCATTTCGCCGTATTGTGTGCAGAAATAGATTTTGTAAGATCACCTGTAAGCAAAGTGAAGACGTAACACTTCAACCCTAAATACTTCAGAAATTTATGACATGCCATTTTTTTAAACACAACTAAAATATATAAATCTGTGTTTTCTTTTAAAATTTTAATTCAGGAAAACTATGTTTGTTAGAATGCAAAACCTATTTTTTAAACAGTATGAATTGACTATAAGGATATTTTAAATGATATGGCTGCTTTCAATGATCTGAGAAAGATTTTAAATGGTCAGACTAATACAAATATTAACATTTTCAATGGCATGACATTTAGAAAACACTTTTTAATGTTCTGACTTAGAAATATATTTTTAGTTGGGTTTAGAAATCATTTTCAAAAAACTGTGAGTTAGGTAAATATATCTGTATATATCCTGACGTATCTATTTTTCCAAACTGTATACTTTAGCTATCCATTTTTAGTTCTTTTGCTTAGCTTAAATATTTTTTTTAAATTGCCTAACTTAGAAAATAATTTTCTAAAGTGGTTTGATTCAGAGAAGGACTTTTAAAAAGCTTCCTGTCTCAGATACTAAGTTTTTAAACCATCTGACTAAATGGGGGAAAAAAAAAACAAAAAAAAAAACCCTCATGTTACCCAAAGGTTCAGGGTATTTTGAACCTTAATGATTAAAAATTGAAAAATAAACAATATGTTTTTCAATCAATTAAAACTGATACCTTAGAAATCTTAATATCAGTTTCAGTTGTTTTTGAGGCAGCACAAAAATCAAGTCATTTAAGGAACATGTAGTTCTTATTTAACATTACTGAAGTACCATTAAGGAATTGTATTCATCCAATTGCTACTCAATTTCTTGGCTTATTTTTTTCTTCAAAATTAGCGCTAGAATTAGCCCGTTTCTATGCTACCAGACATCTTTACATTTATTTCAATATAATGTCATTCCTTTCAGTTTATAAATGTAAAACCCTTCAACTTCTTAACTGAAATCTCACACACACTCTGTCCCTGTTTCTAGGCTTTTTGACCTGAGTTTACATGCTTTTATTCCTGAAACCGCTCATATGGCTTAAAATCACTTTTCTATCAGTTATATGGCCAAAGACATTCTCCACTTGTGACTTACAAAAAGGAGAAACTGTCTTTGTAGACATGATAATCATGACATATGGCAAAATTTTTCTGAAACATTTAGATAAAGTCACAAAGAAAAAAATGAACTGGCAATACAGTCCCTAGGAGGTGAAATAAATGCGGGGTTTCCAAAATTGCCTATCAAGTATAATCCCCAAGAATGTGGTCCTGGGATGGCTATTCCCCGCCTGTTCCAACGCTGCTTCTATTCCAACCTAGCCTCCCTACAGCAGGTAGCCTGAACTACAGCCAATTTCATAACTTCACTTTTCAATTGAAGACATTACCGAGCTAACGATCACTGTCTGGTATAGATCATCTAGACTCGCCCCTCATTTAACAGAGCAGTAAACTGAGGCTCAGAAAGGGAAAAGTAGCCCCCATTAAAAACAAACCAGAAACAGTAATTTTTCCAGGACCACCCTTAAAAAACACTACTGCTAGGCTAACTAAAGGTTCTGGCTAATTTAAAAAAAAAAAAAATGCTATTTTAGAGGGTTAATTTTCACATATACCTCCTCAGGCTTTTTTAAAAAGTTCGAATGGAGAGGAAAGCGTAATTTCCCGTCTGGGAAATGGAAAGTGAAGAGGCTAGCACCTCGAGTCTTAGAAACCCAAGCCCCCAGGAAGAACAGTGAAACAATTATTCATAGGGAACAAGGCCACACAAGGGCTGCGGGACCGTTAAAACGGGCAGAAAAACAAAACAAAACAAAACAACAACACAACTGCTTCCTCTTTAGGAGAGGGAGTCGTTCATTTGCAAGGATTTGGGTCCATGGTCCCGCGACCCAGCCATTAGGACCGAACTGAGGCTCACTATTGGGGGGAGGGGAGCTTCAAACAAAACGAAACAAAAAGGCTTCAGAAAGGCCCAATGCTTCCCAATGTTAGCGTTAAAACATATGTAAATTACAGGCGGCCTGTAGCGCAGTGACGCCAAGGCGGGGGATGCGCGGGGGGGGTGCTGCGGAAGTGAGGAGAAGACAAGGCAGAGGTGGAGCTGCGGCCTCACAGCACCGCTTTTTCCCCATCCAGGGTTACAGATGCCCCCTGATTCTAGCCAAGAGATCTTATTATCCTTAGTCTTATTATTCTTATCTTCTTTTATTAAACAGAGAGACAGACAGAGACAGACAAACAGGCAGAGCCGCAGTGCACACGGTCCGTGTGTCGGAGAGACCGCCGGGAGACTCACCGCAGCAATGCTACGTGAATGCAGAGGGCTGGAGGTGGTGTGACTACTCACTTGCTCGGCTAACAGCTGCCGGTTTTGGATGGAATTATTCCGCAACAACAAGAAAGCGTCGGTTAAACGCCTGGTGGCCATGTCTCACCCTTTGTGACCCCCCTCTCAGGGGCCCCCCGCCCACTTATATTCCTGGTTTATTCACTTTCTTTCTCTTGACCCGGCCGGCCCACCCTTTCACAGAAGCTTCTCGACAAGGCCTCAGGCCTCAAGCCAAAAAGACGCAGCTGTGCCCTTCGCCAAAGCGTAGAGACCCCTCCCCAAATAACTACCTAGGCTTTCCAATTGTCTGACTCCCCCTACCCAGGACCGACTTCGATCTCTAAGCACTTGAATCCCCCCAATCCTTGCGTAGCGATCCAACGTTCCAGAGACCCCACCCCAATCCAACCTTGGATCTACAAGCGTCTAACTCGCCAATCCAGCTCTGGACTGGGAGGCCCTGAAGCCCCCTACTCCCTGAGACCCCCAAAGGTCTTTGCTCTCTACCCCTAACTTGGCTCGTAAGCGTCTAGGCCGTGCCCTGAGGTCTGGCTGTGACTCAGTTTCCCCACCAGAGGCCTGGCCTAGGCCCTCTTTGGACAACCGGAGCCAGGCCTGAGGCCTGGACTCCAGGGCGCCTGCAGCTCCCTTCTGGGGCCTTGTCTGAGCCTGCTGAGGCCCTGCCCGACCTCCTGACCCCTTCCTTTCCTGGGTGGCCTGGTCCTCCACTGCCAGCAGGCTGCTGGCCTGCAGGAGGACAGCAGGGCCTGCCTCCCCGGCCTTCTCACTCCTCTTCTCCGGCTCCCTCCATCCCCGGATCTGACTGCAGCTCAGCCCCGGGCCGTTTCCGTACTGTGGTCCCGGGTTCTGGCGTCCCCCCTGGCCCTCTTCCTGTCCGTCCCTCGCGAGTGCCCCCCTGCGACTCTCGCAAGCCTTGCTTGCAACGTTCCGGGCGCGGGAGCTCCCTGCACTCCTGCCCCGGGGCACGAGAGTGCTCCGCCCTCTCCCGGGGTGCTCCTGGGGCGCCCTGTTTCGCCTTCCCCAACTGGGTCTAGGCACTAGGAGCAGGCCAGCGAGCAGGCCCGAGCCTGGGGAGCGTGACCCCCAGGCTGCAAACCGCTGCCAGGGCCCTTGGTCCCTGCATTAGAGTGGAAGTTGCGCGGCAGGCAAATTTGGGCTCCCCGAGAGCCGAAGTTTTGGGCGCGGGGAGTTGGAGCGGGAGAGGAAAAGTTGGAGACGACTGCCTCTGCAGGCCGAGCACGCTCTACTGCAGGCGCTGGCGCTCGCTTTTTTTTTTTTTTTTTTTTTTTTTTTTTTTTTTTTCCACTCTGAAAAAAGATGTACCCGACAAACAACCAGGAGGAAAAAAAAGGAAAAAAAAAAAAAAAAAAAAAAAAAAAAAGCGAGAGCTCCAGGCAGTCTGGCCGCGCAGCCGCCGGCAGTCGGGGGTCGTTGGGGGCGCCCGCCCTCCCCAGCTGCCGCTTTCTGTAGGTGGCACTACAGGGTCGTGGAATCTCAAGTGGAAAAGTTCCCCGAAAACTTTGACACCTCCTGCCCCCGTCCCCGCGAAAAATATCTCTGTTCCCCGCCTGGGCCCTGGCCCGGAGCACCCCGCGCCCCTGGCGTCCCGGGCCCGGTTTCTCGCCGTTGGCCAGGCCCGGGGCGCCCTAAGCACCCCGGCTTGCCGTCCCGGGCCAAGTCGGCGGGGTTCGTGCAGGGGCTCCTCGGGGCCGCGTCGGGCAGCAGCTGCCCGGGCCCGAGCACGGCGCCCAGAAACAGGCGGGCGCCCAGTGACGGAGGCTCTGGTCCGGCCCGGAGCCGCCCGGGAAGCCTGAGGCCAAGGGCCTGGCCCAGCGCTCGGCGGGAGCGGGTCGAGGGCGCAGAGCTGTGCTGCTGCGCCTTCCGGGCCCCCGGTCTGTCTAGGGCCGGCTTCCCCTTGCCGGGCGAGGGTGCGGGCCGGACTCCGGAGTGGGGTTCCAACAAAACACCTAGGCCCCAGAAGCGGCCCCCACGCGTCCTTTGTTTCTGCGTGGAACAAACTTTACACACGTGTGTTTTCCGAGGGTTTCCCGTGTGCTGAGCGCTTGCAAAGCGGAGTCGCGCCCGGGGAGACGCGAAGCCGGTGCCCGCGGCTCACCCAGGGACCCCGGCCGGACAGCGGCACCCGCGGGGCGCGTGCGGGACCCCCAGACGACCGGGGGAAACGCCGGTAACCGCCCCCCGCCGTGCTTTTTCTCTCACGGAGAACGTTCCCGCGCGTTCGTTGTGGAACTAAAAATTAATGTCAAACATATCCATTGAGGCAAATAACAAAATGCATACAACGAAACCCACATAAAATCGAGAGAGCCGCGAGCGGGGCTGGGCGAGTTCACTGTGAGAACCCGCCAGCTTCCGCTCTGCGCGGAGAGCAGGGCACTCGCCCGGGGACGCTTCGCTGCGGTGGAAGATTCGGGCGACAGGGGACCGGGTCGCCTCGCGGGCCGGGTTGGGGGCTGCAGGGGCGCGCTGACAGGCCATCCAAAGACAGAGGCCCTGGGGAGGGAAATTCGGGGAGCCTGTGTGCTTAGCGCGGTGCCCCAGGAAATATTTGCCCAATAAGGGAGAGTTCTGTCCTCACCCGCGGCAGATCCCCCCGCGAGCTCTGACCCCAGCAGCACGGCCAAGCCTCCCCCCTCGCCCCTTTAGGGGACAGTTATTTGTAAATAACAACTGAGCTGGTTGTCGGTAGGAGAATCAGATTAGAAACATGGTCCCCACTCTGTTCCTATCTCCCCAGCACTCATCACCTCGCAAAGCAGGGGGTCTTGTTTACTTTTCCTGGCGTTCTCCCCCAGGCTAGAACGTGATCTTCCTACGCAGGGACTGTGTTTTATTCATCTTTGTACCCACTGCCGTCTCATCTGGCTCGGAACAGGCTCCGGATAAATATTTTTTAAATATGTGCATGAATGAATGAGAGACCTGAGATTTAGTCCCCAAACTCTCTGACCTCCCTCGAGTGGCTTTAAGCCTTTAGAGCCCTTATCTGTTAAGAAAGAAAGAAAAAAATGTGGGTTTTTCGTAATCCTCGTAATCCGTGCCCTGTCTACTTCTCTGGGGTTATTGTGAAGATCAAATAAGATAAGTGAAAACTCTTTGTAAACTACCAGGTGCTGAGCAAATATTGTATAGGATGGTTATTCATTCATTCCCTCCGTTCAGGAAGCTTAACAGAATAATTCCTGGTCTTGTGTTTAAGCAGATGGTGGTCGCCTTTCCTGGTCAGTCTTAAATATTTATTACAGGACAATCTCATTCTTACATTTAGGAAATCAATCAAGCTTCCATTTCTTTGAGCGAAATGAACACTGCTTGCACACATAAATAACGGAAGAAAAACCCTCGCATTCCCAAAACAGCCACCCCAAGCAACTCAAGAGCCCAACAGCAGGGAGGTCATGAAAATCCAAGAAATTGGCATAACAGCCCAAAGGTAGCACCGTGCAGCTCTAACCAGGCTGTGTTTAGGTATGGGATTGTGTGCCTGAAATAGTGTTAATGAAGAGGAAACCCAGAGAGGACATGCACTCCTGGCTCCAGTCACGTCCATGGTCCGTGTTCGCCCTGACCCACACTGGAAGGGAGTTGGGGAAGGATGTAAATCATTATGTTTGAATGTTCGTTGGCTGTTTTATTTTCCTGTCAAGTAACTTAAGCTTGATTTTTTGTTTTTGTTTTTTTTTAAAGCATTCCCCGATGGCCAAGTATGTGTTTCCTTGGAATTGAAATCTAGGTTGATGGTTTTACATTTTAAAAGCTTTCATTGTGACTCATTCTTGGCCTGGGCTCAGATTCCGTCATACTCCTTGGGCTTGGTGAGGCTCAGCGTCCTGTTTCTTGGGCTTCATACCCACTTTCTAACATTCTGCCAACGAATCCAATAAGTCACTTTTGGGGACAAGTGTTTCATTGTTGTCATCTCATTCAGTACAGAAGGGAACCCCAGTGAAGCCAGGCCATGACTTGGGCAGGAGCAGGTTTTCAAGTACTGAGAGGGGATGGTTAGCACAACAGGTCAGCAGTGGGACACACACCTTTGGTGAAAACAATTTAAATGAAATAGGATTTGTGAAGCCCTTATGCAACCTCAGCATAGAGTAAGTGCTCCACAAATGGGCAATGTGATTTATCACAACAGTAGTCTTGCTGTTGGAAAGCTCACGTGGGCTCTGCTCTCCCTGGAAGGCATCATAAACTCCAAAGAGAATGGCATGATATTGAGAACTGAACACTTGGAAATCTAAGCACATTTCTGAGCTTCTTGTTCTGGACCTTGGGAATCCAGATGTGTCTGTGGTGCACGCTCATGTGGAAGAGGGTGCTAAACAGTCTCAAAGACACCTTTTAACATTGGCCTTTCTCCCACCTATAGAAAGACAGATGATTGTTTGTTTATCAAGCAGCAAAAGCCCCCAAGCCTAACACATGTCTTGTCTGCACAGATCTAACAGACAGATACGGGCCAGGTTCAGGTAACAGGAGTTGTGTGTTCTACGTCTCCAAACGGTTCCTCAAAACCTTGAGTATTTCCAACAACAGAAAACTCCCTACCTGGGTCTGTCTTCAGCTATGATGCCTCTCCCAAGAAGGGAGACTCCGGAGAGAGGCAACAGTTTTGTTTTGTCTGGAGTCCCGTAACTTTTAGTACCAGACAATTCAATACAGTAGGCATTTCTAAAAATCTACCAGTGGCTGTGCCTAGCTCTTGCTGGGCACTGCTAAAAGAATGAAACAGAGCAAAACTTTTGCTTTCAGGGAATTTGTATCTCCACTGTCTCTGCCCAAATTCTGGCTCTCATCTTGTACATTTTTCCAGCAGTCTGCTAGCAGCCACCCGTCTCTTCCCTCCTCATCCTGCAGCCACAGTGACCTTTCCAAAGCACAAATCTGATCATGTCACTGCCTGATTGAGGCCCTGAAACAGCTCCCTCTGGCCTATGCCAGTCAATCCAAATGACACTCAGCAGAAAACAGGTGCTGTCTAAGTTGAACCAAGCTGGGCATCACTAATATTAACTAATGATGGTGTTTACTTGGTTGTCAGAAAAAGAAAAAAAAGAAGCAGCAGCTAATTAATAGAATAGTCTCCATCTTAAGTGTTTCTCTTCTCACTTTCTCTTAAACCTTCAGTTCCTGCTACCACTTGGCTGTATTAGAATATAGTATAAGACTAGATCTGACTTATTCCAGAATCATGGATTTCATTACAATTTTTTTCCCCATATATCAGTATTTTCTGGAGTTCTGCATTTAGGTTTTCTATGCT